CCCATATTCAAAGGGGAGAACGTTCCCCATTATGGACATTTCATGGAAGGTTGACAGTTGGTGGCGTGCCTGAGTGGGATATAGTAAGTGCTTTGCCAAAGGAACATTTCTAGAAGGACCGTTCTCAAAGAGAATGGCTGGCGCACATATATTCCACCACGACTTCATAGTATATGAAGTTGTGGTGGTTCTTCAATAAGGTCTAAGATTCTCTGAGATATGTTTTCCAGTTTTAGAATATCAAAACATTTTTTTTTTTTTACCATTTGTTATGTTTAATTGCAAAGCTAAGACTAAAACCAGGGGCCAGGGTTGGAAAAATATTATGTAAACAGGCACACCTTGTTTTATTATGCTTTGCTTTACTGTGCCTCGCAGATATTGCGCTTATTTTATTTACTTATTTTTAATGGGTATAATACTGATTAATAACATTATGTAAGTTTCAGGTGTACAACATTATAATTTGATATCTATGTATACTATAGCGTGCTCACCACCCAAAGTCTAGGTTCCGTCCATTTGACCCCCTTTACCTATTTTGGCCTCTCCCCACTCTTCCTCCTGTCTGGTAACCTCCAATCTGTGGTCTGTATCTATGAGTTTGTTTTCGTTTTATTTTCTTTCGTTTTTGTTTTATGTTTTGCATATGAATGAAATCACACGGTTTCAAAACATCCTTGATGCAAATGTGGAGACCGCAGCAATAAGTTGAACAATATTATTGGAACTCAGAAATAAAGACACCTCGAAATAAAGATGGTTTCCCCTCAGCAAAAAATCAGAGTTAGAGGAAGCATCTAAGCTCCTTTGTCCCAATCGGGTATACATCTCAGTCTAAGGCTAGCACCCTGTCAATGAGCTCCAAAACCAAACGAGTGTATTTGAAATTTGAGGTCAAACAAGCACTTGATTTAATTGTAACAGAATAGGGAAGTGCAAGAAAAGATGGGGCTGAGGAGTTTTAGATGAGTATAGTGCCCACAGAACCGAACAATCTTCAGGAGTTTGGACAACTAGTCATCCACATGGAAGGAATTTAAAACAGTGGGGAAGGCCTAGGTTCCAAGTGTTGTTGACTTTATCGTCTAAATATAGCTCAACCTGTCCTCCTCTCTCCTTCTCCACTGCCACCCCTCAGGCCTACCCCCCTCCTCTTACTTGGACCCTGTAATCGCTTCCTTGTCTCCCTGCTTCTCTGCTTTGCTCCCTTCCAACGTGTAGCCAGTACGAGCTGATCAGAATTCTAATGTGATTGTGCCACTCCTTGCTCACAGCCTTTTAATAACTTGTTCTCAGGGTGAACAAGATCAAATCCTTACCTGACCCACAAGTAGGGTTGCGAAATAAAATACAGAATGCCCAGTCCAATTTGAATTTCAGATAACGTAATTCTTTAGTGCAAGTATATCCCATGCAATTATCCATTGCTTATCTGGAATTAAATTCAACCTGGCATCCTGTATTTTTATTTGCTAAATCTGGCAACCCTACCCACAAGGCTTTGCAAAATGTTGGCCTTTCTAGTGAAACTTTTGTGTATATTTCAGATCTGTCTCAAAAACCATTCATCAGGTTGGGGAAGGTGTCTTATACTAAAAAGTTTTTTGTTTTTTGTTTTTCATTTAGATGTAAATAAGACCAAGCATATCAGAAAAAAGAGAAGTTTTTGACATTTTTATATTCTGACAATGACAGGATATGTTGCTCAAAAGAATCTAATATAGCCTGGCCAGTGTGGCTCATTGGTTGAGCGTCAACCTATGAACCAGGAGATCACAGTTTGATTCCAGGTCAGGGTACATGCCTGGTTGCAATCCCCAGTAGGGGTTGTGCAGGAGGCAGCTGATCAATGACTCTCTCTCATCATTGATATTTCTCTCTCCCTCTCCCTCTCCCTCTTCCCTCCCCCTCTCTCCCTCCCCCTCTTCCTCTCCCTCTCCCTCCCCCTCTCTCTCTCCCTTCCCCTCTCCTTTTTCCTCTTCCTCTCCTTCTCCTTCTCCTCTCCCTTTCCCTCTCCTTCTCCCTTCCTCTCTGAAATCAATAAAAATATATTTGAAAAAAGAACCTAATATAACACACTATCGATCCACCAGATATTCTGAATTAACTTTTTTTTTTTAAAACCATCCAAGCTCTACAGGAGAAAAACCTAATTATTTGACAATTTGCATGCATGAAAATGAAGCAAGTTTTGCTGGTCTGACTTCATGTGTCCAGCTCTTTTCTTGAAACATTGTTCTTTCTCCTTGGGATGTTATTAATATTCGCTGGAATCCTAGGAAGGATCTAAAAATTTGCATTTCTTTTATTTGTTTCCTTTGGCAAATTTGTTTCTAGAAGGGACATTTTAACCTACTTCCCAACTGTTTTTAGCGACCTCCTGCGGTTGAAAGCAAAAGACTCACTCAAAATAAACTCAAAATAAAAGGAGCATCATGTCTAGGGAATGGCCATCCTGCCTCACGGAGCTTTGGTTTCCGAGTGTCTGTGACCTCTCTTCTCTCATGGCTCCTCAGCCTCAGCTTTCATCACCAAGTGGCAATCCTATTTTTACATGCTTGTCACTGAGATAGAATATATGCCACCTGTTTGTTTAAAGAATCATTTACTGATTTTTAGAGAGGAAGGGAAACATTGATGTGAGAGTGCAACACCAACCGCCTCCCTCCCCCCGCCACCAGAAGATTGAGCCTGCAACCCGGGCATGTGCCCTTGACCGGGAATGGAACCAGGTGCATGGGATGAAGCCCAACCAACTGAGCCACACCGGCCAGGGCTACATGCTACCTGTTATGGCTGGTGTGGTTATACTTGAAGAAATGAAGGCTCAGAAAGATGAAGTGATTTGCCCAACAGTACACAGCATTATAGTTTTCTCACGTAACACAGGAGAGCAACTGTGTTTATTGGGCTTATCAGATATACCCTCCCCCATAAAATAAGCCTTTAAAATGTCTGATGCATGCTGTAACATGAATGTTGAAAACATTATGCAA